AGACTGTGGCTGCAGGGTGGCCAGCCGACCATTGCCACAGGTGAAGGGCGCCCGGTCGGAGCTCGAGGGTTCCTTGGCGGCGGACCGCGAGGACCTCCGCTGCCAGACGACGCTGCCAGACGACAACGACAACGACGGAAGATGACGGCGACGGACGATGGACGGCGGGCCATTGACGGCGGGCGGCGGCGAGCAGCGGGCGGAGGACGTCCGCCGCCGGGAGCTCGCGGTGGAGAGGGGCCTGATGGAGCTGGAGCGCGAGCGCGAGCGAAGGGCGCAGCTGGAGCAGAAGCTGGGCGAGGCACGTGGTGGCCCGGCCCCTCCCAAGGTCAAGGTCTCCCAAACGGGGCTGGAGTTGACTGGTGTTGGAGGGTCGCATCGCATCGCCAATGCGCCAGCGATGCGGCGCAATCTGGAACCCCATGTTCTTCATCCCGACGGCGCCGATAAATCGGCGATGCGGAGCGATTCTGGGGCCCCATACGGGACAGCGGGGAACACAACACACACACACGTACTAATTACCTCTCCTGTGGGATGGCGAGGAAGAAATTCCCGAGCGGGGCCCGTCACGCAGCAACGCCCTGGGCGATGATTCATGTATGATGTTCCGGGCATGCTCGTGAGCGTCATCATCGTCGACATTGATATTTTCGTGCCGCCTCTCCAGAATCTGTTCCCGCGGCAGGAGTTTTCATTCTTGCTCATCGATGCTCTCAGTGAGCTTGTCTGAATCGCCATCGTACACCAATTGAGGTCGCCTCCATTCCTATGTGCGCGCGTGTGCGCGCAAGATTTGCATGTTTGTTCGCCTGGGCTGGTGGCCCTCAGAAGTGCCGGTCATGTGCTCTGTATTCCTCTGGAGGATATGGTAGTTTTGTCTCCCTAGCTTGCTAACTGTTTCATCGGCGGCGTCGGAGCACACCCGTTGAGGCAAACGGCAAGCGACTTAGGCACTACGAACAGGAAGCGACGCGGAGGGGGGAGGAAGAGGCCGCGGGCGGTGGGAGCACGCACAGAGCATGCAAATCGCCGCGCCCAGCTTGGTGAACACATAGTCTTGACAGTTCGCGTGTTCCCACCGGCCCATTCAGGAATGCTTCGCAGGACGATGAAACCACTCGCGGCCACCCCCAGGCCAGACCCCCGGGGGAGCGTAAACCCTTTCCCGGCGGGGGAGCCAGGAAATTTTGAAAGACCCGATGCCCTGAACCCAGACATCTGACGTCCCGATATTTCACGACTTCCTCTGATCTGGCTTTCATCTCTGGAGATGTTTGATTGTCCTGAGGGCTGGAACGTGACCCTAGAAGCCCAAGCTGGGGAAGAGATGGTCTTCTCGACTTCCTCGGGACGAAGGATGTCCGTATCTGGGGTTTGTAAAGAAGGGGCGGGACCACCGCGGCGCGAGGCGGAGCGCGCCATCGCGGAGAGCGGGCTAGCGGCCAGGAGGGCGGAGGAGGCGTGCGCCACGCACCGCCTCGACCTGGAGGATCGCCCCTCATCCAGGCGGCCCCCGCTCCTGACATGTCCATTTGTTTGTATCTGGGGCCTCCTGGGAGATCCTCGTGACCATGGCTGGACGCAGCCCGAAACTTTGGTCACACTGTTCTACGATATGCCCAAGTCGCTACGACAGAACATGGCCGTGGAGGTCTGGGAGGTAGGATGCAACTAAGGAGGGCGCGCGAGGATGGGGGAGGAGGAAGATGGGAGGGAAGACGAGAAAGAGCAGGAGGAGGAGGAGGAGGAGGAAACAGAAGAGGAGAAGGAGGAGGGAAAGAAGGATGAGGAGGAGGATGATGATGATGAGGAGGAGGAGGAGGAGGAGGAGGAGGAGGAGGAGGAGGAGGAGGAGTGTGTGTGTGTGTATGTGTGTGGGTGACGTCCGCTGATATCACCTTTATCTCCCTATCCACCGCCGACGTCTTGGCTCAAGGTATTGGTACAAGGTACCGCGCCGCTCCTTCCGCGGTGCATGGTAAAAATGGCTCGCGACCTTCTCCGTTACATTCTTCGACCCACGGGAAACACAGTAGGTTCGATTTTTCGGTCGGTAGCCTACTCCCTCCCACAGGTTATCAGCTTACTATTTCACGCTCTCCGTCGCGACACCCCGCTTCGTCCTCCACTCTGCCGCATGGCGCTGGACCCCACGGGGACCAGCGCCTCTATGCGTGAAGGGTTTTCGACGGAGCACGGGCGCCGCGACACCACGGAGAGGGCGAGAGGACTGGCGTTACCGCCTTCCCCTCTTTCAAGCGACGGCAACCCCGCGGCGCTCGAGGCTGCGCTCGGGGACCTCATTCCCGACTCGCCGCCCGCGCGCGCCCCTACTCACACGCCTGGGTTCGAACACCATGCTCCGGCGCCTGATACGTCCGATATTTTTCCTGGCGCCACCGTTCGCTCGATACTCTCGCCGGTGGAAACACCAGCAGTTACCCTCGGAGCTACCGGTGGATTCTCCTCGCCTCTTTTTTGTTTTTGTTTTCCAACCATCGCTGGTGGAAACACCCGCAGTGGTAGCGCCAGGGAAACGTCTCCTCAGAGTGCTTCCGCGCGACACCGCCGTTAGGACGATTTCGTGTCCCCCACCACGGCTGCCGTCGCTTGACGGACATTTGACATTTGAACGAAGGGCCCTTGAACGGTATCACATCCAGTCTCTCAATATGGACAACAGCCACAGCCCCTCCCAGAGGCGCTCACGGCAGAGTTCCCTGCGGCGCGATATCGCACTGCGTGCATCGCCCTCAGCCACTAATCAGGCCGGGCGTCGAGACCAGCTTGGAACTTACACGCCCCAGCAGTTGTCGGGTCTTGTTGCGCAGACAGCAACACGGAGGCAAGAGCTCCATCACGTCTTTGTCCTTGTCGACTTTCGGATCGCTGAATATCGATCGATCCTCACCCAGGTCCAGCATCAAGTCGACCGCATGGAGTCACACTGAGGTTCCGACCCCACTGCAATTCGGACGTTCCACGACTACCTCCTTGCAGCGGGGGGCCATCTCGTGAGCGTAAGGGACACGGGCGCGGCTGATGTCGGGACACTAATCGATGAGCTCCTGACACTGCGGCAGGTTCCAGCTTGGGAGGTACATGGACTTACGGATCAACAGTTCCGAGAGGACCTCAATACGCTACGCACTCAGGTTGAAGTGACGACAGCCGACCTACACTCCCGCAGTGCCACACTCACGTCCGATTTGCACGGCAAGCTGCGTAGCGCTGAGATGGATATCGCTCAACTTGTTGACGCTTCAGAGGGACGTGTGCCAACGCTTGAGAACCGAGTTTCCGCGGTCGAACAGCAGTTACCTGAAATGCAGCCTGCGCTGGCTGAGTTGCGTGTTGCACGGACGCAGACTGGCCAGCTGGGCACCCCGACTCCGGTTTACGATTTCGCCACCCTCGACGCCCGACTGGCCGAGGCATGGGCGGCGGCGGACCACGCGCAGTTACGACGCACCCAGATCTCCCACGAAAGAGACGCTGCAAAGGCACGGGTCGAGAATGCACTCGCCCGTTTGGAACAAGAGCGCGACGCACACAACCGACGAATCCATGACTTAGAGCATCGGCTGGACTGGCGCTCCCAGCGAACTAACGACACCAACGACGAGATACGTGGTCTACGACAGAGTGTTGAGAATATGCATGTTGACATCGCAACAACTGGAGCCACCACAACGGCCCACGCGAGCGACGCTCAGATCCACCAGCCGACCCCGCCTCCAGAACCTACTAACGACTGTGCCCCAACCCTCGCCGATGGCAGCGTCCGCGCTGGAGAAACGCGACGCGCCCCGCCGGGCGCCGCCTCTGCAGCGGCCTCCACGCAAACGTGTCGCTTCTCTCCCGCGCGCGTACCACCGCCAACTCCACCGACTCCATCGCAGACCCTCTCACAGTTTCCTCTCGGCGGTACCGCCCCCATCGAGGAATCCGACACTGCGCATTCCTCAACTGTCACGTATTACCCAGCTACAGGAGTGGCAACATATGGCCAGGGGCCATTTTGGCAGCGCCTCCGGGCGACCTGCCAAGGCATGCGCATTCCGCATCGTTGCAGGCCAACCGGAGATCACTTCTGGGGACCTCCAGGACAGTGAAACTTTCGAAAGCATCGATTGTAAACTTGCTGCTGGACTCGCGGCGGTTCTCAATGCTGACCTCCGGTGCCGAACGAAGGACCTCGCAGCTCAGGGGCATCGAGCCGGCCGCGTATGGAAGGGTAGACGGGTATGCCGGGACTATGCTGCAATCCTACAAGGAAACTGTCGTCGACGACGCGACGCGCGACTTTTGAACGTCTACAACTTATTTGCATGCGGGGTCACGATTGACAGCGGTTCATTGTGGACTGGGACAAGCTATTCTTGGGTTGCCGCGAACCACTGGATACAAATATATGCTCGCCCCCCCCCCCACATGATCATACACATTCTCCTTTCATCTCTCCAGTGTTCTTCGCCTTTCCCTCATCATGCTCTTCTTCATGATGTGTTGATGCGCTGGCAGTCGAAACCCATTTGATTGCAATCCAAACGGATGCAGCTCAATGGATTACAACCCATTTCGATTCTTCAACCTCTGCATCCAATTTCTGCGTCCTCCTCATGTTCCTGATGTTCCTCTCTCTCCTCCTCCTCCTCCTGCTCCTCCTCCTCTTCCTCCTCCTCCTCCTCCTCCCCCCCCTCTTCCTTCCCCTCCTCCTCCTCCTGCTTCCCTCCCCCCTCCCCTCCTCCTCCTCCTCGTCCTCCTCCTCCTCCCCCTTCTCCCTCTCCTCTTCCCCCTCCTCTTCCTCCTCCTCTTCCTCCTCCTCCTCCTCCTCCTCCTCCTCCTCCTCTTCCTCCTCCCCATTGTCCTCCTCCCCCTCCTTTTCATCCTCCTCTTCCTCCTTCTTCACTCGTTCTCCTTCTCTTTTTTGTTTCGTGCAGCACACGCGTGTTCAAGGCCGTTGCTTCGCTTAGCCAGCGCCCCGCTGGGAAACCATGGGCAACCCCGAACACGGCACGGAACAGTACGACCGCAAGCTCGAGAACAACCGCGCGTACAAGGCCAGAGTCAAAAAAGACAAGGCCAAAGCGGCGAAGCACAAGCTCAAGATGCGATTCCAGAGGCCGCTGTTGAAGAAGATCGCGGACCTGGAAGAGCAGGCTGCGATCTATCCTCCTCTTTGCGCTTCAAACATCTCCAAACATATAAACGCATTGTCCCGCCTGCTCATGCTCAGGTTGATTGGTGCCAGGGCGAGGCGGCGGACAACTGGGAGCTCGCCGAGAAGCGTGCGTGGTCCAACGAGCAGCTTCGGGACACGACGTTTTGAAATTCCACCACCACCACCACCCTGCCCGCAACCGCAAAAGACGGAACCGCAACGGCAGCAACCGCAACGACCGCAACCGCAACGACCGCAACCGCAACGACCGCAACCGCAACGACCGCAACGCCAGCAAAGAGCACCAATCACGAAGCAAACGCAACTCGAGCAAGCCCACGCCGCCGAAATCCCCCCGTCTGTTCGGGTGCCTTGCCGCCTCGCCCGCGCAGGAGCGCGCGCGGAAACTGACGAGGGAGCTGGCCGAGAGCAACACGGCCAAGGAGAACGCACAGGCGAAGGGAGCTGCAGACGCGAAGGCCCTCAAGGCCTGGAAGTCCTCCTGGTTCGAGGCTTTCTCGCGCGTGTGCGACCAGGAGCTGCCGCCGAAGGCGACGAAACTTCTGAGGGACTGGGCGACTTGGAGGGTCACTCACTTGAGGGCCATCCTTCGCTTTTCTCAGGGCAACTAGGCAAAGCAGGAGCCCGCCGCGAGGCCAAAGAACGCTTCGCTCGCTAACGGGGAAAGAGAGGCACGGCGCGGCGGGGAGCACGACCAGAGGCAACGCAGGGGGCCGACCGAGGAGGAGGAGGAGGAGGAGGAGGAGGAGGAGGAGGATGCGGACCAGGGGGAATGGTGGGCGGAACGCGCTTCTGCCAGGCAGGATGCCGCGCAGGAAAAGCGGTGCAATCATGACATCAAGACAACAGGGCGAACCACCCACCCAGAAAAGCAGGCGACGATGGAGCCGCCGACAAGCATGTTCAGTCTAACGTGAACAGGCGCACTGCTGCACAAAAAGGGCATCCTGATTTTAGGATGCCCTCTCTGATACGGGCGTCGTAGGAAAAGCGGTGCAACGATGACATCAAGACAACAGGACGAACCACCCACCCAGAAAAGCAGGCGACGATGGAGCCGCCGACAAGCATGTTCTGTCTAACGTGGACAGGTGCATTGCTGCACAAAAAGGGCATCCTGATTTTAGGATGCCCTCTCTGATACGGGCGTCGTAGGAAAAGCGGTGCAATGATGACATCAAGACAACAGGACGAACCACCCACCCAGAAAAGCAGGCGACGATGGAGCCGCCGACAAGCATGTTCAGTCTAACGTGAACAGGCGCATTGCTGCACAAAAAGGGCATCCTGATTTTAGGATGCCCTCTCTGATACGGGCGTCGTAGGAAAAGCGGTGCAATGATGACATCAAGACAACAGGACGAACCACCCACCCAGAAACTCAGGCGACGATGGAGCCGCCGACAAGCATGTTCTGTCTAACGTGAACAGGCGCATTGCTGCACAAAAAGGGCAGCCTGATTTTAGGATGCCCTCTCTGATACGGGCGTCGTAGGGATTTTGTTCTTCTACTACGACTACCACTACCATTTCTACTGCAACTACTGCTGCTGCAGCTCTACGGCGACTGGTACTACTACCACCACTACTACTGTTGCTACAGCTCTACGACGACTAGTATTACTACCACCACTACTACCGTTGCTAATACAACCACTCCTACCATAACTACCGACAGCGCCACCGCCACGACCAGAGGAAGCCGACGAACCTCCAGACAAGGAGGGCCCCAGTCCCACCCGCAGCACATTTTGGCTCAGTGCGTTTTTCTCAACCGACCGTCTGGGCCACCGTTCTGCCACCGTCGGCGATGGGAAAGCGTGCTATCAAACGCCCTGCTGCCGCCTCCGCGCCGAAGAAGCGGCCTGCGAGTGCTTTCAGGCCGTTCCCCCTGCGCAAGAGGGGCAAGGGCAGGATGGGCCAGCGCAGGACGCAAGCGGAGAAGGTCGAGCACGTGCGCCACGGGAAGAAGACAGTGAAATCCCGCAAGGAGCGCGAAACCTGGTGCCGCAACTACGACAGCTTCCACGGGCAAACTGCGGACCAGATGGTAGACCTGCTCCTCGAGGATGGCGTCCTGCTTGACTGGGAAGGCCGCGCCTGCCCTCACTGCGGCGTCGGAACCTGCGGCGCGCGGGTGCATGATGACAATCGCGGCCCGCATTGGCGATGCACCAGCGGTAGGCTGCGCGGCAAGACCGTCAACCCGTGCACCGCCCACCCCGTCTTCAAGTCTGGCGGGGGTTGCCAATCGTCGAGTTTGTCGACCAAGGCCAAGGTCCTCTTCTGCCTCGCGCTCGGCATGACCACCGCCCAGATACACTTGCTGACAGGTGCCAACCACAAGATGATCGAGGACATAAGCGCGGCCGCGGCAGCCGCGCGGCAGATCTACGTGGAAAAGAACGAACCCAACATTGTTTTCGGCGACGAAGCTCAGCGGCGCTGGTTCGACGTGGAGGCGGATGAGTCGGTCTTCCGCGCCCAGCTGTCCGACGACGGTCGTTCCAAGACGTGGGAACAGTGGGCGGGCGTCGTCGAGCGCGGGCGCCCTGATAGCCTCGTTCTGTGGAAGACCCAGTCAGGCGGCACCGAGGCCAGCGCGCCAGGCCCAGGCGCCATCGAGAAGACGGAATGGGCGCCGTTCCTCAAAAGCCGTTTAGAGAAAAGGAAGGTCACCTTGCGCTCTGACGGGGCCCGCAGCTACAAGATGCGCGCGTCGGGGCTCGTGCGCGACCACGTCGCGCACTGCAAGAAGCGGAAGAAGATCGGCAGGCAGTGGGTTTGGTTGAAGCCAGTCTACTCGAAGGTTGTCACCCACAAGTTGCCCGACGGCTCCAAGATCAGGGTAAAGGCAGGGACGCAGATCATCGACCGCGCCTGGAGGTCCATCAAAACCCTCATTGGCACGCGCACGGACCTCCCAGGCAGCAGGCGTCTCGCGGCTTCGGTTCGCTCGGCCCAGTTCGAGCACTGGAACACGGGCAAGGATATGTGGGCGGCCACCGCGGATGTCATCTGGGAGGTCATGGACGCGGCGCACCGAGTGCCGATGTCGAGGGGTGTGTTTTTTTATTGCGGAGTGCCGATGTCGAGGGGTGTGTTTTTATACAGCGCGCATGTGTTCCCGAGTGCGCGTGATTGACGTCGCGTTGATTGTCCCCACCGCAGCCGTGCCACATCTTTGACTCATCGTCGTCGTGCCCACGCTCTCTTGCTTCTTACTTCCACCTTCAGTGTGCATCGTTCGTCGTCGTCGCTCCCTCCCCAGGTGTCCAGCTGGCGTCCGCAGCCGTCTGCGATCAACGCTTGCGCGCTGTTGCCCGTCATCCAAGGCCACCGCCCGACCCGCCTTTCTCTCGCCACGAATCATGGCGAGCGCCCCTGATGCTCAGGTGCAGTCGCTGGGGCAGGTTGCGTGCGACGCCGAGGGAGACGGCGAGCTCACCTTTGAGGAGGCGTCGTTGATGGTCAGCGGTAGCAAGTTAGACTACCACCCCTCGAAGTGCGTCAAGACAGACAGGTTGGATTTCGCTGGTGACCTTTCTATCTTCGACCTTCCTTTGCTACCGATCGCGAATTCGAGTACCACGAAGTTGGTCGCTTTCGCCGACATGGCATCCAACTACGAGGGCCCGATTGACTTCGACAAGGTGCGCGAGTTGTGCGCACAGGGTAGGTTCAAGGACTTGCAGGAGCCGCTGTCGCTCAAGCAGGAGCCCGTCGTCCCGTACACGATGCAGATCTTCATCGTTCGCCAGAAGCCAGAGGACAGCGAATGTTCGGCATGCCGCATCCTCAAGGCTGTTTCTTTCGATAAAAACAGAGTCGATTCTGCGACCATCCTCAAGTGTGCTCGCGGAGAGGCCCACAACATCGACTACGGCAAAAACTTTCGGGCGGGGTCGATTGCGTCCCAGTTCATGCTGGAGAAGCTCGAGGGCTATCAAATACGGTGGGCGCGCTCGGATAAAGATCCCCATCCTGCCCGCCCCAGCTCAGGGGCATTCCCCCACCCCGTGTTTCAAAACGAGTTGGGCGCCCTATCTGTGGCGACCCAGCGATCGGGACCCCCTGGGCTTCTCACCGTATGTATGCCTATCCAGCGCCCCCACCGCAAGGTACTTCACGATCAAGCCGCAGCACGAGCGGAAGCAGCCGCTAGAGGAGGACGGGCGCGCGCAGGGTTACACGTTCATCCGTGAACACGGCCCCCGCAGCAATAACAGAAACCAGTTCATGGAATGGGCTGACACAGAGGTCAACAGGGAGGGTTCGAAGATATTCGGATGGCCTGCGTCCAAGGTGGGGACTGCGCTGCGCAATTACCAGAAGGGCAGGACGAACGCCAAACCGATCTCGCGCTGGAGTTTGACGGTGAAGGACTTCTCTGGCTGGTTCCTCAATGGCGTCCTCCGCCTGCTGATTGGCGCGCTCCACATGCACGGGGTGCTGTGGGTCGGGAAGTCCAGAGTTGGCAAGAGCAACGGTTCGAAGACGCCTGCTTGGGTTCATTCGGCGTACAGCATACAGAAGAAGGGTACCGCCGATGAGATCGCTTTCCTGACGGCGAAGCATATGGATTTCTTCAAGGGCGAGCCGACGACGGGGATCCTCCCTGGCATTTTCGACGACGGCCTGCTTCAGAAGGTTCGGTGGCCTGGCGTGGCCCACGCCATTGCCGCCCGCGGCTTCCAGGGAGACTGCGGCTCTTCCCGCCGCATCGCCCTCCCAAGTGGGAGTCGCGGTGGCGTTGGTGTTCGGGCGAACGCTTGGCCGCTTGAAGGTATCCGCTGATGTGCTCAAGGCTTTCTTGAACCCCAAGGAAGAGGACGCTCTGCTGTGGGCTCGGTGGGGCGGCTGCGCTTTCGAGCAAGGGTCGCGCAGACAGGCCGTCGCGAACCCCTACGACCGCGACGCGGAGAAGGCGGCGCTGGATGCCGCGACGCTAAACAAGTACGGCCTCGACCTGCTCAAGCGCATCATCGCGCCGTCTCTGGAGGATGTCAGGACAGAGGAGGACTTCAACGCCATCCTCGCCAGGGCGCACGTCATCGCGGTGACGGACCTCGGCGTGCATTGGCGCGTGGCATCCGCCAACCTGCAGGACGGTGCAGAGTTCATGCCGTGGC